AGAGATGGGAGGAAAGAATATTTGAGGAAATGACCACAGACTCGAGTTCAGAATGTCTCTTCAAACAGATTTTCAGATTGCTGTCCAAGTTAGAAGCCATATGGGGTGTGAAATGTCATGGCTTCCATCCTGGGTAAAAATAAGCTCAGAGCAAACCTTTCTTTTACATCTCTATCGTAGCCATCTAATTCTCATAAAATATTTCTGCTGAACCATGCTGTTTGCATTTGAACCAGATACAGCATTTTTCTATTGAGTAAAGCTTAGCTACAGCAGAAAATATACCAAATGTCACTACTGAGCATTTTAAAAGGGCATTTTTTCAGGGCACCTATTGATGCTAGACTGATGGGTGCACTGAGGTTCATCACAGAAAATAATCTTGGTAGCCAAATGGCAGAGCTATGTGGCCCAAGCTGCATCTTATGAGCTTTGAAAGGAAATGAGCTTTTGGCTGGAGTTCACAACTGTAGTTTATTGCAACTCATACAAATTGTACAGTAATTTTACACAAATCTGGGTTTTTTTATATTGAACAGACTATTCAGCATGTGTGTGCATTTTTAGCAAAACAAATCATTCTCTTGTTTAAAAACAAAAACAAAGCTCTACATATGTTACAGGACTATAGTTACCATTCTTTATTTTAAAGTCATACACAAATGGTTTGTTCTGCTCTGATTAGCTTATTAGTTAATGTTGGATCTGAAAGGCAGTTTTGGGGCATTGTCTGTCAACTTAGTGGAAATTAGGACAGTGAGTGCCTTCAATAGTCTTTGTTCATTAAACCATATCTCTGCAGATGTTCTGTGTTTTAACATTTCTTCAGCTGCTCTGAAGTATTCTCATTTTTTTCAGCTGAAGAGAAACGTGTGACTTTTTGTACTGTTGTTTATTAAAGATGCAAAAGAGGTAGTGTTATTCAAAAGACTGACATCTTTTCTCTGAATATATTATACCCATAAGTGCCAATTCACATTTACAAGCCCTCTAAGAGACAGATGAGCGAATTGAAAGAATCTAGAGAAATTTTTGCTTTTAGGAGAGCCCTGAGAGCATGTTCTTGCAATCTAAGAAATCATTAGTGCCAGGGGAAATTCAGCTTTAGCCGGCTGTGTTTCTCTGTCAAGAGGGGTTCACACACAGGTTCCCACTGCCAGCTTTTCCCTTACACTTCTGTAGGTACTTACCAAAGTTGGAATGCAGTCCATCTGCAGATAACTAATGAAAGGGCAGGCTATGTTCTTCTGATATCTTTGAGGCAGAACTCCCATCAGAATGGCAAACGAGATGCTGTTGTAAGTGGAAATCTTTCTCCAAGTGATGAAGTCAAAAATTTCTGACTGACACTGTGCTCTCACTCCTAGCAGAAATGCCTTATTTATTTTGAAATAAAAGCAAAGACAGTTGTTCATACCTGAAGTGCAGTTAATGGGCCCGGCTGGCAATGACAAGTGAGTGCTCTAATTGATTAGCCAGGGAAATGTACTTTATCTGCTTCTCTTTGGTGAGCATTATGCTGGATTGATCATCAGGGTGCTAGTTTCACTCCTTAAGACTGATTTCTTCTTCAAATCATGCACATCATTAGTCAATAGGATGGATGGAAAGGTGGTGAGGTAGTTGTTTGTGCTTCTAAATAGGTATTCATTATGTGTGCAACTGTACTTTGTTGGGATTCTTGATCACCTTCTATTTCCAATTTGTGTGTTTTGCTTTATGAACTTCCAATCTGGATAGAAATTTGCTTGTTCATAGGTAATGCTGCTCTTGCTAGATAAATTAATGAGAAAATATTTATGAAATTTGGAAGGCTGTTTTCATCAGGTTTACTCACTTTGACCCACTCTTATCTTGAAAGTACAGGTAACATCCAACAAGAAAAGAAAAAAAAATATAATACCATTAAAATATGTAAAATTAGCTGTTTATGAAAGGAAAGGTCATGTTTTATCTTCCTGCTTACTATCATGTGTTCTCTGTACTTACATATGCGTGAATATATTGGACTGAAAATTAAGATAACACTACAATGTGTAAAAATATGAGTTGATAGTAATATAACTGGTCATTGGTACAATATGTGCTTTATGGGAACATAATATAGACATAGGTTGATAGTACAAAGAAAGGGGCTGTTGGAGAAGTTCAGTATATTAAAAATGATAGCATATCAGATATGGCAATTACACTAGCCATCAATCTTCAATAGTTTGTGAAGAATCCTGCTAAAATGCAGTGAAGCTTTATAAGATTTGTGATCACAGAGTGTAAAATATAACAGATGCTACAATATTTAGATGCCTGCTGGCATTTATTTTACCCTACACAGCTCATTTCAGTTATATGAAAATTTTATGTGCTCTGTAACCCCACTGAAATAGAGACATGTTTGCAAAGAACCCACAATGGAGCAGAGTATTTTCAAGATACACAGTATTTGATCTGTCTGATAAGGTAAAAAGAGAAAATGACTAGTTAGACTAAACTACTATTAGATTATTAGTAAATTACTATTAATGCAGAAACCATGATACATGCAATGCTGTCTGCTGTGAACTCTGCCAAATATGCATTACTCTTAACTGGCTGGAGAGTTCATCCAGCCACTGTGCAGTGCATGCTGATATCTTGTGGGGGTGATCTCTGTGAGCCAAAACTAATCAAATAAGACAGGAGAAGAAAGTTCCTTTGCTTCACTATTCCTTTCAGCTGGGAAGGATGACAGACAGCCTTCTTTGTGAAATGGGAATCTTTCATAATAGCTGCCAAGGCTGCTGCAGTTTCTTGCCACTCTGAAGACTACTAGAGGACTGTAAAATCAGGACCTAGATGTACTTGCTAATTAATACTGTCTTTTGGAAGGGTGCCCAGAAGTAGCTTTTGCTATCAAGCTATGTAAGTCCCCATGCTTCTGCTTTTGCAGACCTCTGTTTTCCTTGCATCACATCTCCGATGTTATTTACCTTTTCCTAGTTTCCCTTGAGGCTACTGTATTAAAAAATGTAATAGCAGAGCATGTCTGATGTAATTCTGATAATCAGTGGACTCGTTACACTAAAACAAAGAAATGAATTAAGGTCAAAAACATCCTCTCTAACTTGAGAAGTTTTCCCAAGGCTTGACCTTGTAGATGTCTGACACAGTATTTGATCAAGAGGAGAATTCACTCAACCCAGACATTCTAAAGGACACCAAAACTTGCAAAAGCTTTTGAACTGGCAGTTTGTCCATATGGCATTTGCTTGCTTTCTTGCCATCTTCAGGTATCATGAACTGCTTTTCCATTTGCTAACCTGGCAGGTCTGCAAGTGTTGGGCCTATAGGAAACCAAAAGGCTCTGTATGCTTTTCATTATAATGGAGCCCTGTTCAACTAGCCACAGTAACTCTTAGGTAACTGTAAGTTGCTTTCTTTTAATCATTAATATTTTTATATTGTCAAGAGCAGTCTGGCTCTTACTGAGGTATCTGGATTTTTTCTTCTTCAAAAACATTTGACCTTTCATCCACAAAGCTCATAGCAACTAGCCCAGTGTTACTGACTTATTTTTTATAGCCACTCAACATTTACAGTTACTGTTTACAAATCAGATCCCTTGGCACATATGGAGCCAAAATATTTTTTCTTCTTCTACTAGCCCATAAATCATAATATGGTAGAAAGCCTATCATTTTGTGAGAGTCTACTGGAAACAAGTTGGCTTGGGCCTTAGAGATAATTTCTGCTGTGAGCCTGAATTCCTTGAGCTTTAAAGAGCCACTTCAATGACTCTTCTCTCCTGTACAAGTATAAGGTATTTTACTGAGAGTCACTGCAGCTTGACAGTATACGAGATAGCCAAGTTACATTATTGCTGGAGTCATCCAAGCTGTGTGTTCTGTAAATCAAAACAGTATCTTGAAGTGATGTTGCACTTCCGTTTCATTGGCTGTATACATACAAAGAGCACAAGCATCTAGCCACAACTAAATCTGGTAAATTTAAGGGCTGTCTGTTCTGCTGCAAAGCAATAAAACAGTCATTTTCTAGTCTCAACAAGCATGTTTTGATGTTAGAAGCAGTATAATTTCATTTTGTGCTTCTGCAAAATCAAACAAATTATGTCCAGATAAAGAACATAAGGCATAGGAATTTCCCTATGAGATGAAATAAGTCTATAAATGTCAGATAATATTGAACAGTATCTTCACCAGAGTAATTTTGAAATGTAATCTAAGCTTATTTGATGATTATTATAACATACTTCTGTCACAGACATAGCTTTGGAATTAGTGAAGTCTTTGGTGCAAGTGAACACAAAGTCCAGAAAAACCAACTAGGTCAGAGAACTTTAGTCTGCAGTATTTCTTGTTAAATTCTCAAAATTCAGGCTGTATTTACAGTTACATGACAATAAATTTTCCAGTAGCTAGAGAACTGAAGTAAATACGTGAGCTAATACCACCTCACATGGCATATAAATTATAAAATTATGCACACGTATAATATGTGTCCAATGTTTCTTGCTCATCTCTGGTGACTGCAGAATGTTGGCTGAATGCTCCTGGTTGGAGTGTGAACAGTTCTGCCTGTGTGTTCTAGAGGTTGCCGTGGCTTTGGGCTGCTGGGATGTCAGTTTTGCCCTTCCTATGGATGCAGTTCCTGCTGCTCCATCCAAGCGGTGATTCACCCAGGTGGCACTGGGAGCAGTGGCAGATGGCATAGCAGGTGGCGGTCAGAGAATTTGGAGAAGTATTTTGATATCCTTCCTAAGTGCCCCAGTTCCTTCACCAGAGCCTTGGCCAGCAACGGTGAAGGAGAGCTGATCACTGCCCTCCAAAAGATCTCAGCTCCAAGAGAAAGCTCTGACCCAGGATGCAAGCGATGTTCGTATTATGTGAAGTCCTCATTTTCTGCCCACTCAACCTCCCTACTGCAATTAGCTGTGACTAGTTGCATGTGCTACTGGTGGTTGTACAATTGGCTATGTCGATCAAGGATCCCTCAGAATAAGTAAGTGCAACCTTCTTGCAAGTGAGACTAGAGCTTTGAGCCTCTGCAACCTTCTTGCTTGGCAGCGGTGCTCTGGGAAGAGTACAACTGTAGGGGAGATAGAGAGGTATATAACACTCTAGCTCCAGGTCTGCAGCCTGCTCCTTGGAGCATCTTTCCATTGACTTCAGTGGGTTTCAGCTGAGGCCTTTATTTGGATATTATGCTGGAGTAAATTCTTTACTCATAGATCACATCCCAAGAGGCAAAGTTGGTCCTGCTTCACGTTCCATGACAGATCTATTCTGAATCCTTTTATTATTAATAATAGACAGCAAATTCTGATCTCAGAGTTCCTGTGGAAGAGTCAGTGATATCTGTGTAATTTAAATCAAACCTGTTCTTAAAGGTTTAAGTGAGTGCTAAAGATTTTATCAGCGCAATTTCCCCATGCAGCTGGGCAAGCTAGCACATAATTAGAGATAAGAGCCAAGAACTTTAGAAGTGCAAGAGGTGAAACTAATCTTTGCTGATGAAGAATATCATGCAAATAGTATTTGATTTTTTGCGTGTATCTGATGCTACAACTGAACAAGGCAGAGTTGTTCAGTGCTTAATGGTGACTTCTGTGACAGTATTGGCCTTTGTGTGACAAATATTTTGATAAACTTTGCACAGATGCAAGGGAAAGAAGATTCTCTCTGTTGACTAATGACATACCTGCCCTCCCTTTATATTAGCTCAACCTTTGCCACTACGAAAAATATTAAAATAACTCCTTCCTCTGCAAACAGAGTAGCAGCACAGAGACTGCTTCTGTTTGTCTGCCCTAGTCTCCTATGAGGCTGTATATGGCCCAAACAAAAGACAGTGAAACTAGCCAGGGGAAGATGTCATTTTTCCCCTATAGTCTGTCTTGTCTTCATGCCCTAGAGCTTAAGAGTGACCCTCCCCCCCCCATGACTGCCATTTCTCAAAGTCAGATCTCAGCTAATTCTGTTCCAGTAATTTGGAAACTTTAAAATTTACACAAATTTCCTGCAGTTCTTTTTAAAGTTTTCCAAAGCAGGCATAAGGGCTAATGTCTGAAGAACTTTTGATGTTAGAGGCAAGGTAAGATAGTTGTAAAGTTGGGTTTTTTTGGTAAGATTGCTAATGATATCCCTTTGACTCAAAAGGTGTTTGTAAAACTGTTGTTACCTTCATGATACTGCAGATACGGATGTGACATTCATGAGTTAGTGTGCAATTGAAGGAGTAAAGTTCTCCGAGTGTATTGTATATACTCAGTATATTGCATAGACCATCACTGCAGCAGTTTGAATTAGCAGCATCGAAGCTCCAGGATTCTTCCAGCAATTACGGGTAGGATTGCACAAGGCAAGGAGATTGTGTGAATAAATACAGGAGTAATTCAGGTTTTAAGAGTTGCTCCAGCTCAGAACAAGGCCAGCTCTGCACTTGAACCAGTCTGCTCAGGACACGATCCAACTGTTAACCAATACCCAAGGTGCTCTTCTGCAGTGCCAGTCCTCAGCCTCTCTTGTTGCTGAGGATTATTTGCAGTTTGTTGAACATCATAAAGTTTTCGTTGGCATATTCCTCTTGCTTATGTTTCTCCAAATGATAGCCCTGTCGTATATACTTTGAATTCTTCTTGTAAGTTTTATGAATATATTTATTCCATTTTTAGTTTGCTTATATTTCTTCGGATAAAATGAACTCATCATTGCCAGATTTTTTCCTTTCATACCAAACGTATAAGTTTGCTTTTTGAACATTTTAGAGATTGTGCATATGAACTGTAGTTCCAGGCTGCATCTAAGTACTAGCCATGCTTTCCTGCCTTCTGAAGAGAGAAGTTAATTGTGGCAGCAGGGTAGCTATGCTGTTGTTGCATTTTATCCTCACAGTTTCCCTCATGCAATCTAATTAACATTCTGCAGACTCGGATCACATCTTCCTGTTTGCCACTTGTGCTTATGTAGGCATAAATATCCTTGGAGCAAAATACCTTATTCTCCACCAAGATCATTATCCCTATTATAAGATTAGCTGATTGTCTCTTATCTCTGCAGCATCCCAGTACTATTTGTATAAAACAGTAAAGAACTATTGTTTCCATTTTACAGGTGGGAAAAGTAAAATGACACAAGGTTTTAGAGGGCTCAGCTCCTCACCTTAGCCTGTTCAAAACTGGAGTAACTTTGGTACAACCCGGAAACCATATGACAGTTACTGTAGGGTGAGACATAAGGGATCTAAAGCCACTCTTTATCAATCTGCTTCAGGAAAATCTACAGGAACTGAATTAGAGTAATGCAGGTATAGCTACCTTTATCCCCTTTATAGTTTGGAGACCTGGGATTATATACACAGAGCTCCATCCATAAAATGGCAAATCTCTCTGAAAAGAAAAAAAAAAAAGCAAGTGAAAAATTCAGCCATTGTTATTATATTTATTACAGTATTTTTGAACAATATTGTATTTACTTTCAATTGAAAATAACTTTCTTCTTTTGGAGAAAAGCCATCTCTGCACTAAAATTAGGACAAATAACCAAGTACTAACTGTAAAGGGTAAATTTCCTTTGCTCTGTAAGAGCTGAACAACAAGGGAGTTCTGAGAGCAATATACAGAAGATACCTTTTGTTTTCATTGGTTTTCATAGGAATGACTACAATACACAGAGGAACTCCCTTCCCTTGCTGTCAATTACAACACATCACTGCTTCTGTCCTGTGCAAGTGGGTCAGACATTGTGATGTGCAGCACTAGTATGAACAGTGAAGCCTGGTTGATTTTTTATTAGCTGTCAGTAAGAGATTGTTTTGTTTGTGAAATCAGAAGATAAAATACAATGAAGTCTCTTAAGGAGTATTTGACAGTGATTTAAAACAGGATCCTAAAAAGGGAAGGCCATCAATACAGTACACAACAAACAGAACTAATAGATGCAGGGAAATAGATTTATTATCTGCACTTGGCAGGTTCCAAACTTAAGGTTCTTGTTAAAATGCTGAGTCGAAACAAGGAAGAGTTATTCCTGTGTTTGAAATGCTTCTGTCTTGGACTAAAATGTGGGCAGTAACCAGAGCTGGTCTGCCACTGCAGCAGTACTTTGGGAAAGGCATTTCGCCACCAACAAGTGACAAAGAGCCAGAAGATCCCACTTTGGCTTTCCGACATTTTCTTTGGAGGATGGCAATGTTACATTAATTGTATTGGCTGATAGAAATAGTAGTCTAAACAAACCTCAGAAAGAAGAAATTGAAGCTTTAATTGTAAATGCACATGTTGGTGTTCAGGCACTTAATTGTGCTATGCAAGGTGACTCCATCGATAGGCAGAAGTTTAGGTGCTGCCAGGACCTGCGTGCCATCAGCTATGCTACATACAAATGATGCTGCAGCCTCAACATGCTGAGCAGCCCTGTCTCACCTGCAGTAAATTATCACACGCAAAGCTTTGTTCAGCCCCTCTTTCAGACATGAAACAGGTTGGTGCACTACATCTCCTGGCCTTTTTTGTGGCCAAAAGCAGGACGTAGCCAAGAGAGGAGGCCGAATTAGCTATGCATTTGTTATGAATGATTTAATCTTGCTTCATGAATCCTTTGTTCACATTTTGTTGATTTTGTGTCCTTAGCTTTAATAGACCTAAGTAGCTCTGGAAGTTGTACATGCTACAGAAGTACTATTTCGGTAGCACAATTGTTTGCTGCTGAGAAAATAGTTGTTGAGAAATCTTATAACAACCACTGCCAATCCCTAAAGGGGATTGCTTCTCCCACTAGCTATTATCTAAATTGGATGTTTTCTGGGAAGACAAGCTGAATAAATAAAATAATGCTAGCAGGACTGGAGTGTTAAGGATTCAAAGATTCTGACTGCACCGTTTTAATTTTAGTGTAACTCTACTGAACTCAGTAGAGTTATTCTGGCTTTAAACCTCAGCCCTGGGGTCCAAAATGCTACAGGGAAAGAAGCTGTCTGCTCCCATTTGAACAAGAGGAAGGCCACAGCATGACTTTATTTGCATAAACTGTCTACCAGATGGAGAGAAACCCTGGGGAAAGGCTGGACTCCCTGCCCCCACCACTTCTCATATGCAGGGTGTTGGAGAAGACTCTATCTGATAAAAGTGCCCACCTCTTTCCTTCCAGTGGCAGCTGAGGAGTCACTAGGTGCTTTTCAGACTTGTTTCCTTAGAGGGAGTAAACTAAAAGAATCATATTTTAGATCAGTTGGACCAAACACACATGACATGGCTACTGCACTATGCAACCATGCACTGCTGAGTCTGTGCTCAGGACCATTTTTTGCTAGAAGGAGTTCTCGATTGGAAAGAGCAGCAGAAGATTTAGGCCCTGCCCTTATTATTCCATACACCAAAACCGTTTGAGATTTCAGCTTTGTTAAGGAGCAGAGGTTAAGCAGTATGCCAAACCTGCACTGGGAGCTGGCAGAGAGAGGAGGAAGGGATGGCCACCCCTTAGATAATGCCAATTTCAGGAGTCAGCTGGTGAATTATAGAATCTTGAAATCACTAAGGTTGCAAGAGACCACTAAGATTAAGTCCAGTCGTGACCATACTCACTAAAACAGTGGGTTAAGCACTAATTGTGGTTAACATGTTCCTTACAGCATTGATTCTTACTCAAGGAGCTGTAGTCTTATTAGGCACGTCAGAGCTAGTTTTTTCTAGTCTTCTAAACATGTTTCCCCTGATCCATACATGGAGTTTGTATGAGATCCTACTACCTTTGAAGGGCTGTAAGGATGAGTAGTAGTTGGAAGAGTGCAGGTTATGTGGATGCTCAGGTTTCATCCTACCTATGAGCTGACAGGGGCGATGATGGTACCTGGCTGTTTGCAGAGCTGTGTTTCTGGTGCTTCCACTTTGCAGCATAAAAGCTCTGAGTCTGGGACTCAGGATAACACATGGCTTTGACCACATTTGTTCTGCTCCTGCTCCCATGACAGCTTCAGCAGAGGTCAGTAGAGAATTTGATATCTGATACAAACATGGCTGTTTACCAAATTCTAATTCAAAAGCGTAAGGCATTTTATTTCTGTTTGGTTTTCTTTTCATCAACTCATCTGTCTAGGATCTCTCTTTCTGGAAAGAGGCAGGGTGAAGAATTTAGTTTAATACACCATTTAAATTCCATAAACAAGACAGAAATCTAGTAGCAGGCAGAGAATATATATTGCAGCAATAAAACTTCTCTGAAAGAATTGCAGCAGCAACTAGGGAATGCTAATAAGGGTTTATTTCCTGTGAAGTAACATTTACAGGCCTAGGTTGGCTTGATTTTCATTTAATGAAACATTGCATTAATATAATCACATTATTTTGTGAGGAGGAAATACTCTGGAAGCTTTCTGTTTCTCTTCAAGTCACTTCTCTCTCTCCAGCGTTGCTACTGCATTGGAGAGATAGGAGGAGAGTGATTGTTACTGAATTTTACTTTTGAAAGAAAATGTACATCATAATGGGTTTAATATGTAAAATTCCAAGAAAAAGTTAGACTTATTTCCAAATTATATAGAAAAAGTTAAACTACTCTAAATTAAGAACCTGTAGGTTTGATGTGAGCAACATCAGCTCCTGCCTGCAACTCTAGAGTCTCACAGAGCCCAACAGCAAATGTTTCATCCCATTTTTCAGCCAGATTAAGAATCAAGTCATGGCGAAGATCACATAGAAACTAGAAAAGTAGCTCTAAGAGGGCAACTTGTAGGAAGAAAATGAAAAGAAAGTGCTTGTATGTGAAAAGTCCTTTTCCATTTTCTAAATGAGGACACGTAGGGCATAGCACTCACCAGGGTGGAGGGCTGTGGAAAGAAGGACATAGTTTGCTGTTATCATCTTAAGCCACTGCTGGAGTTGTCCTCCCCTTAATTAAATACAGAAGTTATGAAAAAGAAAATTGAAAATGTAATGAACATGAGGAACGTAATGCTTACTTGAGTTATATTATATGAGGCTGGTATCGATAAAACAGGTCTTACTCCAATTACAGCCAGTAGCAGTAGCCTACTCAAACAGATTGGATTCTCTTTGCCATATATTTCAGATTATTGTGTATATTGTGTTAATTGTAGTACATTAGCAAAGAACCCAGCTAATCCCTGTGAAAGGACTGCTTCCTGCGGTTCCTGCCTGCCTACTGCCAGTTTCATGCTTAATCCACTGCTCCATTTTTTATTTCTCTCTTGCCAGCAATTATATTTCATTGGTGACTGTTGTAGTATGGAATTGGAGGCAAGGACTCCTATATTACCTGAAAAGGCAGTATTTCATACCATGTATCACTTCTCAATGTATAGAATCCAGAAAACTGTTAATGCCTCACTTCATTTCCAGCATAACTTACTACACCGAGGAACAGTGCTGTCAACTTCTTTTGAAATTGGTATGTGGTATTTTCTGTACCTAAAGACTTGCTGTGCTTCTGTATTTTCTATCAGCTATGAAGAAAACTGTACATTTCCAAAACTGTTACCTACTTCCTGACCATCTAATTTTGTAAGCTTTGAGGAAGGAGATGAGTTACTCTTTTCCAGAGGATAAAAAACAACAACAGAAAAATCAAGCCAACAAACCAAAAATTAATCATAGTGGTGCAAGTGGCATTTGTGCAAATCCACAGTTGGATTTTTGTTTGTTTGTTTGGAAGACTAGAGAAAATCTTCTCATTCCCCTTAGCAGCTGCAATGCTATAATAGGATGGAAAGTACTGCAATAATAGCAGGGTGGCAAAGTCTTCGACTGCAGCAAACAAGAACAAGCCCACGTGCAACAGCCACAGACGTAGAAATGAAGGAAAAGTGCTGCTTACCTTTGGAAGGCTTCAGACAAGAAGAAATCTCCAACAAGAGATACTCTCACCCCCACTGCCAACCATTAAATGAGGTCTGGGAAGGGATGGACCCTTCCAGTCACTCAGGTACATTGTATGCACCTGAGCTCCCCTGGGTTGGTCCTGCCTTCCCACCAGGTGCTCAATCACTGCTTCAAGCTATGACTTTGCATTTCTGCTACAGCAGCAAACGTAAAAGTCCTGATTGCCACAGATAATAATAGTGGTATGGTATATACTATTGATACTATTAAATACCTGTCTGTGTTAAAACAGGCTGGTGTTGCTCAGGATACAGACTCTGCTAACTGAAATGCTTCATAGTTGATAGGAAGGTATTTAGTTAGGCTTGTAAAATAAGTAGTTAAAAAATTAACTGATTTCCTCTGGGTTTGTTAGAGCGATGGATAGACAGAATGATGTTGAAATCTTGCAGGCTTACTGCTTGACAACCTGAAGAACTGCTAGAGAGAAGTTCTCTGTAAATCAAATATGAACCCAGCAAAACTGTCCTTTGAAAGCAGTATACTGGAAAGTGTTTGTATGTACCGTACAAATGAGAGTTGGAACTAGATGATCTTTAAGGTCCCTTCCAACCTGAGCCATTCTGTGATTCTATGATGTGTTTAGGAGCACTGCTGTGTAGTTCATCTTAATCACTGTTTAGAAGACAAGCAATGTCACCATGTCTTTGGCATTAGAAATCCATTTTATTTAGAACAGGTTTTAGTTACTCTCCTCTTTCTTTCTCCAGCAACTGGAAGCTTACTTGGAAATCTGTAATTGCTTTGGCGTAGTTCAACTTCCATGTAAAGTGCCAAGCTTGGGTACCCAGTCCAAACCAAGTAAACTGATGAATTACAAACGCGTTTGTGATAATAAGAGTTTCACCCACAGGCTCTCTTATTGCAGACTGAACATTGCAGAAAGCAGCCAGCAGTTCTGTGCACTGTGAAGGTGAAGCCTTGGGCACAGTATGCACAAAGCAGCCGCCGATTGCTGTTAAACAATGTGCACATCTTTGAAACCCAATTTAGTTGCAACACTGGCAACCCACGTGGCTCTGAAAGAGAAGATGTCTGTGCATCTTTAATGCCTAGTAGCTTTCATTTTAGCACAGTGTGACATTTTCCCATCCATGGAAGCCCGGCTCTAACTGCAGAACGTGTCCTTGTCAGCCTGAGTGGTCCAAGCCTCCAGGATTGTGCTCACTATTCATCCTGCTCAAGGAAGCATTTCGGATAAGAGCAGGACTGAGGTCTGGGAACGTGCCATCACAATTATTTTCCAGAAGATTCACTTACCATAAAATTAAAATATCCCAGCTGAAAATGTAACAGAGACTGCTCCCTGTCCATCCTCTCTGTCAAACTGGCAGGCATGCAGGCTTCCTGACTTCTTGGCATCATGTCAGCCTGTCAGGCAAATTTTTGTTACTGGAGCACTGGTGACTGACCTAGGACTGACATGTTCCCTGACCCCAGAGTATTTTGGGAAGCCTCAAATTTCTGGTTTGCTTCTGGGGTTCCAGAGAATATGAAGGCATTTGGAAACACTGAAATAGAGCAAGGTTTTCATGGCTCGCAGAATACAGTGTTAGAATTTTCATTTCTTGTATAATCTTTCCAAGGTTTACATAGAAAACAGTGCTCAATATTTCCATTCCCTGCATGTCTTTAGTCCGTACCATAATTGTTCCTCCATAGGTTTTATACAGACAAGATAACCTTGTAACATGATACCTTTAATACCTAGAAGTCATTGTTCAAGCTCAGATATGAGAAGCTGTACTTATAAAATGAATCTCTTCCTGTGCTGTAGTCACTTCTGAAGCAGCACAGAGCCAGTCATCACATGAAGTCTCCCAAACCTGAGACAGATTATCTTTACAAAGTGTGTTGAGTCTCATCTTTGTCAAACATTTTTTCTCTTAATGCTAACTAACTTCTGGGTCACTTATCACGTGCAGATGGCTATGAACCTATTCTTTGGGTTTTCTTCATGACAGGAGAACAAATCTCTGAAGTACCCTATTGCTTAGTGATTTCAGCTTTAGGAGTACCATGCATCTCACTATAGAAAATGCCTAATGAACAGTTTTTGATTGTATAGTGGGATTTTGGTTATTTAGTCTAAATCTCCAGTTGTCCTTTGGAGGGATTTCTGTGCTGGGATGTAGGGGCACGTGTACTAAGGCACTGATCCCGATAGTGGGTGATGGGGCATTCCTAATCTGCCCTGTTTTGTACCTCCAGATGTATTCCTTCTTCTCTCAGCATGGCTTATGTGAACACCAAACTATACCTGAACTCAGACGTGGCCACACTGCTCCCTCTGCCTTGTCTTGGGAGTTGTTCAGTTACTGTTGCAGTAAATATATTGTACTTCAGGAAGAGGATGCTAAGGCAGTAAACCAAATTGCTGCAGCAACATATACACTATTTTCAATGCCTTCTAATAGTCCATTACATTTAAAATGACTTTGGAAAGAGCAATTAGAAGGTTATGCCTTTAAGAGAAGCTGCTTTGAAACCAGAATTGACCACTTGGAACAGTGTGCGTTGGCCACATCTCTTGCATTCTATTGAGCATAGAGGGTTTTAAAAAATATGTCACTATCATTAAACCTGAGAGATTCTTTCCATTAAGCAAAGGGAAGCAGGTATAATGCCACACAGCTAGTGGCACTGCAGTGGTTCGGTTGCTAAAATATAGGTGTTTCAGCCGGGGTCCCGTTGCACCAAGTGTTCATATTTTGAAGAGATTTGGAAGCTTCTCATTAATGATAATGGGAATTGCCAGGTGCCCAGCAGCTCATGAAATGAATCCAAAATATGCCAGTTATACCTTGTAAATGGATTTCTCTTGTATTTAACCCAGATTTTCAGTAAATAAACTAACACTTGTTAACCAGACTGCTGATACTATCAATTTGGCTGAGTAAACTCAAAAGTACTTTGAATAATACATTAAATATACATATATTTAGTATGAATATACTATATATAGGAGAAAGTTACGATCTTTTTAAGTTCACTGGCTAAGAACTACTTTTATCTCAGTATTAATGACTCAAACATAATTTTATCTGAACATTTAATCTAAATTAGCTGTCTTCTGAGGTGATTACATTGCTTAGAATTATTTTTTTTTTCTTCTGGACCATGCATTTCCCTGCAGCTTAGTTTGCTGATCTTTGATTTGTGGTGATACAGATCATATACAAGCTGGTTTGTTGTTTTTAATGAACTGGATGTGTTGTATAATAGAATTGCTAGGTTTGTGTTAAATTACAGCTTTGGGACTCATTATTGTGAGATGTTATCCACTTTGAACTGGCTTATTTTATCACAAGGAAAGAAATTGAATTTGCTTAAGATGGCAAATGCAGCAATAGATGGGGTGGGCGGTGGGTGTTTTGGGGCACCCCGTTGAGCTGGTATGCATTATATCTGATCTAATTCACATTCCACCCAGAAGATGCATACACCCCTGCACATGTCAGAGTCCATATAAAAAAAGCCTAAAGCAAACAACAGCCACAGTGTGTTGTTAAATGGTTAAATGTTGCTCTCTAGCCATTGGTCTTTAACCATTTCACCCGTAAATTTATGAGATCCTTTCCTTAGGGTGTTTTGTTCCAATTTTTAGAAATGTGCATGCAGATGCTAATGATGCATTTCTTCCTTCACGTATTTAGCTTCAGCATGCAAATATTTCAGCACATACACAGAAGCAGTTATCAAGCACTGAAGCTAGAGTGTGTGCAGCAGGGTAAATTGAGTAAAAGCCAAAAATTATATTCCCTTTGACAATTGCAGGCATGGAAGATGAAGTTCTGTGTGCCCTTCTTGGCATTTCTTTTGTTTGAAAAACGTGACAAGCTTTCAGCCTAATGTAATGCTATATGGGAAAATTTACAAAAATATTGTTTACTGAAATAATTTTAGCTACTGTGTGCAACAATATGTAAAAACACTGCCTTGCATTGATGGAAAATACAGACACATGATGATGGACATTTCTTATATCCAATT